TAAATTGTTAAGCATGAGTACATATATAGTATAATGGTTAGCATAATTCCATTATACTATTTTTCTACATTGCCTATTTTTCTTAGAATAGTATGAAGATGCAAGACAACTTTTATAAAAGCACCTCTAGAACTGAAACACCTCCTGTCAACTGAAGAGCTTTAAAAGATTACAGTATTAATATTGACACAAAGAAAGCGTTATTTTGTACCGTGTTCTCTTCTTCATGAAAGAGCAGTGATGAGAATAGATGTGTAAATGCTATCTTTGTTCTCATTATTGGTGTAAAATTCTCAAGAGACTGGATTAATTTTGTGCTATTTTCTGTGCCTATAACAGTCTTTGTTACAAGACAATGAAATATATGCCAAGAACAAGAATTTATTGTACATTAAAAATGGGGTATAACTTTGATCACAAAAAAGGTTACAGGAAAAAACACTGAAAAATATATCCATTTTCTTGACAATGCTATGATTGTAACAAGCACAGAATGATGCAAATGTATTCAATCATTCTCCTGACACTTCCCACACACCAGGATAAAAAGAATATGGCGAAAATGTAACCTTTCTCGATACTGTTCAGTGTGAAATTCAGAAAGGGCTTAACTCCTTTCTCAGGAGCATTTTTACATACTCACCAGACAATGAGAAATGAAAGAAATAGGACAAAATCTCTTCTCAGTTATGCCCACTTTTAAGCTCGAGTAGGCTGTAAGGCACAACTGAAAGACAAACTTAGTTTATCAAATATAGGAATAAACTGTAGAAAAAAAGTGAACAGTATATTTTATGGCAAAAAACCCATTAGCTTCAACAGAACTTTGATTTCACCCTGGTAAATCAAACCCAGACTTCTAACCGGATATTTAGATGCCTAAATAAGTGGACTTATTTATTGTTCCCCTTTCTTCCTTGACTTCATTGTTTTTGAGCGGCTAGGCTTACAGAGGCAACCTGATTAATGTTACCTCAGTAGCTGTCAGATAATCAGCTCCGGTTCTCGTATCTTTGTGACCCTTAACATTCATTTTATTCTGATAGGTGTTTGTTTGGCTTAATCCCTTGTGGTTCAAATATCATACAACTTTTTTAGAAAATCAATCGTTAAAGACTTGTATATAGTAAAAAAGAATAAGCTATTGTTTTCAGGAGGTGAAGAGTTCGCATCCACGAAACTTATATGTTGCATCAAAACGTAATCTCATAGTTCTAACGCTACAGCTGTGTCACTGCAATAATGTGCAATACAGCTACATTTTACTAGCAAAATATAAGCTTATTTTGCACAGGGGAGGGGTGGCAGGAAGGGTCATGGGAACCTAGTGTTTATATGTTGACCAGTAAATTCTTATGGGAAAAAAAAAAGAAAACAAATGCCACTGCTCTGTTAAAGAAAAGTCATTTCAGTTCTGTGGGAGCTCACTCTTCCCATAATCAAATAAGGGTTTCCTGCTTCCTATGCCCTGATTTTCATTTCTCAACTTTGTAGAAAGGGTATTTTTGTATGCATGAAGCTATAAAATGACTAAAAGCTTCAAAACTCTAAAAACTAGGAGGAAATGAGCAGAGAGAGGTTTCTTCACTAGAAGGAATAGTTGCATATTAATAATGCTGGATTTCATCTTAGAAAGTGTAGTGCTTCAAAAGTCTGAGATCTTGTCATAGGAGACCAAGCCTTCGGGTTTTAGTTACTCATTAAAATCCAGCCCAGAATGCTGGTAATCGTAGTCTGTGCTGAGATCTCAGTCAGTTCTTACTGCGTAGACGTCTCAGAAATCACTAGCATTTTTGGTGCTAAGTAACACCTGTTGAAGTGCTGATAAAGTCAAGGCTGATAAAGGAATAAACCTGAACTGCAACTCTCTCCAGCATACATAGGTGTTTGCTGCAAGCTAGGACGGATGTCTGTTGGTGGGGTACTACCCATGATTTAAAGACAGAGGTTCTCAGAGGCTGCCTACAGCTCACCAAATGAGTAACCAAACAGGATGCTTGCAGGCTGAAGTATATAAATTATTGCTGCAGAGACCACTTTAAAACTTTCTTTTTCAGATGTTGAGTCTCACAACCTGTATCATGTGAAAACAGGCTGGGCTAAAGAAAAGCAATTAAACCAGTGTGCTTTTTATTTACTATGCAATTCCTGCTTATTTTAATGCTATCAATTGCAAACTTTTGCTACAAACTCTATTAGACCTTTGCTAGAATGAAACAGAACAGCTTCCCTGGCTAGTTGGGCAACATTTAATTCCTACATTTATTTTACCAACATATTTGTAAATCTTTTTTTCTTGTTAAGTTTGTCTTTTTTTCACCTCCTCTCCAAATTCTCTTAGGATAGGGTGCAGGTGTGGAACTGGGAACAGAACTGAGAAGTCCAAGACAGAGCTCAAAGGCTTATTCTACAAATAACACTGTGTGTTTTAGATTGTAAGATGTTTAGCTTTTTGAAAGTGGACAGGCAAAAAGCTCTGTCGTAAGGACAGGATGCACTCAAAGTCAATTTGAAGTGACACATAATGACCAAAATGTAGGTGTTTCAAAACAGGGAGTGCACTCTAAGGAGCTTCTGCTACCTTAAAATCACACTCGTCTTCATCCTGCTTCTCCTTTCCTGTCCTAAGTGAATTCTATAGCTTAGAAACACCAGCGTGTTGCAATTTAGCACGTTAGTATTTGAGATGTTCTGGTCACAAGGCATAACATGCAGTGCACCACTTGTTTACAGGGACAAATATACACCCAGGTATCCTCAAAGTTTAAAATTACAGTTAACGTATTCATGTCACCAGAACGTGATAAAAACAACAGCTTTAAAACTGGTAACCTTTTACATTTCTTGGTTGTATCTGGGTACCACTGAATACATGTTGCCCTCCTGCTCTCTACAGCCATATAGCTGAAATTAGAGTGCTTTTTCTCTTGGTTTAGGAGGGGACTTGCTGTCTGTGCATCTTGCACATGAACAAAGCCGAGACTTGAACAGGGATCGTTGTGATCCCCAGGTCCCTTACGGAGCCTTGTAGTCTCTAGGCAGCAGCTCAACCATGTAAGTGAGCCAAAAGGGTGTCTTCCTTCTGGCAAAACCACTAGGAGCTGTCAAAAGGTGTCTCAGTGGGAATTCACTCAACTTATAGAACAGGTATATGTTAAAGCAATTCCATTGAGACAATATTTCTGGTAAGACCCTCAAGTATTACCTGCCAGTTCCAGTTCTCCTAGGAAGTACATTTTTTGAGGATCATTTCTGAGGATATCATATAAAGCCCTTGAAAGTGGTTATCATCTGTTGTTCTGAAGTGGCACAAATAATGAACTCACTTCATTTACTCACCTGCCTCTGGTTCTCAGGGGTCCAATTTCCAACTAATGAGGGTACTGTAAGTGCCTCTGCTTCTGTCTCTAACTTCTTTACATATTTGTTTTTGTCAAAACAGATTCTCAATAGATTTTGGAATCTAGTTCCCATCCTTTATCATGGAATTAATTGCATACCTGTGGCTGCAAAAAATTGCTACAAGTACTTATATATGCTTTGTTTGAAAATTATTGCTGTATACTATTCTGAAGGCAAATTAATGAAATTACTGTAGGTGGCTAATCCTTTTATTATGAATAACATCTGGGTATTTACAAGCCCAGAATGATGCAGATGTGTAGGCTAAAACTACACAGGCATTTCTCATGCATTACTAGAAGAGGTGGCCACCAACTGGGTTAGAAAGCAGATATCCTACCTCCCTGCAATAGAGTGCATTGTAGAGTTTTATCTTCTCGTCTTAAGTACAAGCAATGGCCACCACCAGAGACAGGACGTGGGATTATATAGACATGTGGCCAGAAAGAACTTCCAATGTCCCTGTATTTGTTTTTTATCTTGCCATATTCTTATACTTTGGACCATAAATATTGAGAAGTTTTTGCATCACTAAGCAAACCATATGAATATGATATTTGAGGTGACAAAATGTAAAACAAAAATCACACCAAGACACTTAGAGGAAAAAAGTGCGTAATATACATATTTTGTGAGAAAGTTGCAGCATTTGCAGTTTTAGAAGTAAAAATATTGAGCCAGAACCTCAAATGATACAAATTTGGCATGCTGGAAATCCAACCCTTTGTGCTGAATTTTACATGTATTCTTTGCAAATGCAAACATTCTCCCAGAAACAAAATGTCAACATGATTGCCTTTTCAAAAAGGGAAGTGCAGATGAATTTGTATTGATGGGCACATCTCAGAGTGCACTATGGGTGCAGTTTGTTGACTGTGGGGTGGTGATTTTTCACTGTGGTGTTAGCCCATCCAAATGTTATATAGATGGAGCTGTTCTATTTGTAAATGTGGTGGTAGTGGTGGAGACAGAGCAAAAGAAAGGAAAAGAAAGAGAAAAATAAACTCGATTGTTGCAGGCTGCCACTGATTCATTCAAACAGACCACAAACCTTTTTCATTCAGCAGCTGTTCACTGAGGTGTGTAAGACTACAATCTGTTAGCCTGTAAAGTGCTTGGACAGAAGCTGAACATACCATATCAATAAGGGTTTAACCAAAAGCAGACATTTCTTTTGTACCTTTTTATAAAAAATGGCCCTTTTCAAGTTAAATTACAAGAGAGAAAACTGTGTACTTGGAAAAGTCTATGGTTCTCCTTGTTACACGTCCTCTACCAATCCTAACAAACAAATAATGATGGAAATTCCTTCGGTAATCATGGCAATCCGTTCTACACCAGGAATGGAGCAAAAGGTCTCCTCACACAAAATACAGTGAGCAGATCTTTCCCTCTCCAGTTTTAAAAATTTCAAAGCATCACATACTGTACATAAATAATTGATAACCGTTATGAACATTGAACTCTTCAGAACAGCTAAAACTCATTCCTCTCACCTAAGGGGGTGCTTTCAATGTTCTCCCTTACTAATCCCAAACTCCAAATTCCAATTTGCATGGTTTATTGTTTCGGGTTGTTTTTTTTTTTTTTTTGGGGGGGGGGGTGTGTTTGTTTTTTGTTAAATGCACCTCAAAGAAAAAAAGTTCTAATTTAGAATTACTCCAAGTCTTTTCAAGTGAAATGGATAATTGATCCATGACCACATACACAATGCAGTTTGCATCTCAAACCTCTCTGGGAAATAAATTGAGAAAACCAAAGTAACTCTAACCAGAAGGACAGGGATGGAACTCAGCTATAGCACAATTGAGAATCCTGGTCTGTAATGAGGAATGTAAGATTGACACTGAAGAACTCGGCCCAGATTTGAAGAACAGCGTCTCCTCTTTTCAATTTGTCAAACAGCAGACTTTGCTATTTAAATATTTTTTCAGAAGAGGTGACTCTGCAGGGCCAGATCCTTCTCTTTAATTATGTGTGCACAGATTTCAGTGGTATTCATGGTAGTTGTGTGCACACAAGTGGGGTCACAATTTGCCCCTAGAAACTTAGGGTTAGATATGCACTAGGTAATGATCTTACTTTTAATGCAACAAATTCTATTTTTCAATGTATTAGGAAATGTTAACCTACCATCCCGCAATATATATCTGTCTAGCCATGGTAGCTATGGGAGCCTGATTAAAAAGGTGTTCATTCCTTTTTAGAATTACAACTTTGCTTATTTCTAAGGATAACATATGCAGTATCTATATGCTGTTTAATTGGTAACACGTCTACAGTACCGACTGGAATCAGTAAGTGGCCACCAGGGTATAAAAGTGGATACTGTCATCAAGTGTGGAGATAGGCAAACTTGACAATGGAGATGGACGGCAAGAACCTCATATTGTGTCATCATGTTCCAACCCCAGGATGGGCATGTCCTGTCATGCAGAAACCTTCGCACCAACAGGATTTTATTTGTTTCAATTACTTTCTTACAACTGGAGTTCTATTTCTTTTTATATGTGGACGAAAGAAAATAGAAGAAAATAAATAAAAGACTTAGCCTCTCCTTCCGGGAAGCTGTACTCCAGCTTTTAATCTTCATTGTAACCCAAGCGGAGCTGATATGCCTCAGTTTTCAATACATTTTGTCTTTTGCGGAGGACGCAAGTGACTTCCTGACCCTACTGGCAGGTTCCAGGCTAGACTGTCTCTCTGATCAGCTGCTCTCTGTATGTCACTGCATGAGGCCTGAGCTGTAGCTGAATCCATAGCTGCTAGACAGCGACAGGGACTGCTGGTGCTCCTCGCTCTGCTCTGAGGTGTAGCTGGGAAACGTCTGTGCACGAGACACCTTTGTTGAACCGAGACTGTGACCTGGATGGAAAGCAGAGAACAGTGTATTATAAAGGTTTGCCATAAATCAATTTACTAAGGTTCAAAAACAACTGAGAGAAAGGTTGTCTCCGAATTAGTTAGGATGTAGGCTCTCCAATCTCCCTTTTCTCTCTAATGTAACGCTTTGATTCATATCCTCCAAACACTTTTGAGGTACTCTCCATACCTGTGAACTGGCATATGTCTTGACTAACACAAGAGTGTTAGTATGTTGTATAGATAGGTAAAGAGCATGTTGTCCATGCTCTTTACCTATCTATAGTTGTGCCCCACTAACCGAGGAACATTCTTTTTCAAACAAAGAAGAAAAAGAACAAATTCATATTTTCACTATGATTACAGTTCCTTTTCTTTTACAGATTCATTGTTTCACTCCCTGGTTAGTGTGGAGAGGTCCAGTTCTTCAAGGCCACTTACACACCTACATTCAACATTTAGGCACCTCTTATATGTTCAAGCCCTGTTTACCTGCCATCTAAATCATGTGGACACCTAATTTTCTGCCAATTACTATAAACAAAGCCATCTCAGCATTGGTGCAGTCTCACAACCAATGAGTTGGTAAGAAATGCCTACAGGTAGGAAAAAAGCTTCATTTGCAGGACACAGTCCTGTAGGCATGGCCAATACCTGTCAGACCCAGTAGCAAAAGGGCCAGGTGCTGGTCACTGATAGGTGGGGGGGAGGTACATAACAGAAGGATCATGCGTGTCTCACTCCACATTGGTGATCAGGGCACCAGCACAGGATGTGGGACATGTGGGTTCTAATCCCTGTTGTAATCAGGCAGACCCAGGATATTGAACAAAGGTCTCCAGGTCCATACCTCACCTTAGTACCCTACCCACTAGACCATTCACTATTTTGAGGTGCCTTCTCCCTTTGGTTTTCATGGACAGGAAACCAGGCATAGATACCTAAGCAACTGACTTTGCTTAGATGTCTAACTCCAGGATTGGGTTCATGGGAGAAGCCCTAGGAGAGAGAGGTGCCTGCCTGACAAGAAGTAGGTACTTACCAGACACACTAGATTAGATGCCAAAGCCCTGCCCTTTCTCTGTGTGTTTCACTCGTGCCTAGGCATCTCCTTCAGTGCCTAGTGGGCTTCTTTTAGGAAAACTTGGCACCAAATTTGAGGCTAACAATTCCACTAGACAGAAGGCCACCTATACCTGGGGTGTTGCAGCACTTCATATGTTTAACAGTCTGGGCCAGATGCTTGAAGTTTCCTTCTATATATGATTTGATCCTGTACTGTCTTCAGTGTTTGCATAAGTATGGGTTATTCAGGAGCAGGCAGACAAGGTTCTTTGGGTGAATCTAATATCTTTTATTAGACCAACTTAAATAGATGGAAAAAATATTTCTTAGCAAGCTTTCAGGTTTAAAACCCTTTCAACATGCTGAGGAAGCCTCTGCAGTCGGTGTGTGCTCTTCCTGGATGGAATTAATCGTAAAGAAGCCTTTACTATTTATTCCATCCAGGAAGAGCACACACCGACTGCAGAGGCTTCCTCAGCATGTTGAAAGGGTTTTAAACCTGAAAGCTTGCTAAGAAATATTTTTTCCATCTATTTAAGTTGGTCTAATAAAAGATATCAGATTCACCCAAAGAACCTCATCTGCCTATGTCTTTAGACCACCATGGCTACAACCTACACCCCTGTTTTCAGGAGTAGGGGTTGTGTTACTAATCTGGGAGAAAAAGGAGGTCTCCTTGGTTTTCAGTAGTGAAATAACATTGCATTATTCAATAACCTAAAATAGATGTCTTTTGTCACACAAATAGTTAGCACCATCAGATTCCTAATTACTATTCAAGTAAAAAGGGATTCATAAGACTCACTAAGTTATCTGGGAGCCATGAAGAACATTCTCCACAACAGAACATAATCAGTTAAGCCTTAAACCGTCAAATGTCCATTTTCAGTAGATTCCAGACATGCCAAATTGCTCTTCTTTTGTGCTGTCATTTATATTTGGAATAGTCTCCCACTTCTTTTTCTAACATTTTAATTTTTTTAAGTCTTCCTGGGCACATCTACATGTGCAATTAGAGCGCAGCAACAAACATGGCACTTATCGCACTGGAGTTTATTACTTCCACGTATGCCATTTGAAATACGTGCCTGCGACCGCAGCACATTGAGCTGGGTTGGAGCAGTCCCAGCTGGTGGGGGGCCCTGGGAGTTAGCCTGCGAGCCCAGGGCTGCTCCTGCCCAGCTCAACGTGCTGCGGAAAGTCTGACTGGGGCATGAAAGAATGCAGCCCCTACACCGAAGCACCCTTGTGTCCCAGCCAGTCACGCCAGCTGCTGTGGAGTAAAAAAGTAGATGCCAAGATGTTTACTGTGGAGCCAATTAGGTAACTCCACAGTAAACATCTCATATAGATGTGCCCCCTCTTCCATAAATTCTTATTCCCTATGGATTCTTAGAGCCCCTTGTTTAATGGAACCATACTTTATGTAGCTTAGATGGTGTTGTGACTTTTTGCCATTCAATTGTAAAGTGCTCAGGCAGGACAGACATTTTTTTCTCTACTTTGTAGAACATCATGCACATTTATGGTAATTCAATAATCAAATGTAATAATCAAATTGATAACTAAGGAATAAAAGCCATTCTTATTCATTTGAATAATAATGATATTGGTTTCAAAGGGAAAAACTCATAGAAAGCCTAATGTTTACAAATTGTCATTATGGTGGATGGCTGGATAAGCTAAAGTCTTATGCTTAGTCAAAGACCAGCATCATAATTAGTATTGTGTATTTATACTTCAGCATTAATGAAAGATGGATCATAGTCTACATAATAGAACACTGGATTAGGAATCAGAATCAGATCTGCTGGAAGCAGTGCTAATTAATTTAAGTGTGACCTTGGCTTAATCAGCCCTGTGGAGAGAGAACTGAGCAAGCTGTATATGCTAGTTTGATTACTGGTATTTGTATAGATATGTTAGTGTGGCAATCCACCTGGGCTAATACACTTTGCTTCTCAGCAGATGAATTTGCTTCCAGTAACATGACTATATTTCTTCTGATCCCCACAGTGTCTGTAAGCACATTAACTTGGATATCTCTGCATGACATTGCATTGTGTCAGGTAAGGTGCATCTTCAGAGTCATAGAGACGTCAGAAAGTTGATGATAAACCTAGGAAAAAGAGCCAGCTTATCTGACTCCCTATAGCTATCCTGCTGATTACCTACCTTAGTTAATTAAGATTAGTAAAATTCTTTGAGCACCTTAAATATTTGTTTCATCTTCAGAAATCACAATTCAGAACTGGTATTGAAATGGGGTTGGAAAAATTTTGTTAAAATATATTTAGTAATGCCACTCTCTCTCTCTCTCTCTCTATATATATATATATAGAGAGAGAGAGAGAGAGAAAGAGACAGTGACATTACTAATATATATATATATATATATATATATAAAAACCCCCCCTCTCTTTTATAAAAAAAAAAACCAGCAGGGGGTTCAGCCCTTACACAAGGGCTTCAGGCCCCCAACAGGGGGCTCAGCACTGACACAAGGGGTTCAGCCCCCACAGCAGGGGTTTGGTTACCCAACAGGAGGTTCAGCCTGACACAAGGGGTTCAGCCCCCCAACAGGGGATTTGTCCCCCCAACAGGGATTTCAGCCCCCACACAAGGGCTTTGGCCTCCACACAAGGGTTTCAGCTCCCACAGAAGGGGTTTGTCCCCCCAACAGGGAGTTCAGCCCTGAAACAAGGGGTTCGGCCCCCCAACAGGGGGATTGGCCCCCTAATAGGGGTTCAGCCCCCACACAAGGGGTTCACCCCCCCAACAGGGGATTCAGCCCCAACACAAGGGGTTTCACCCCCCAACAAGGCATTCAGCCCTGACTCAAGGGGTTCAGACCCCCCAGCGGTGGCCACCCCCCCTGCAAGGCCCACATGCTCCACACCAGCTCCCCTATTGCTGCCCCACCTTGCCTCATCCCCCACCAGTTGCTGCAGCCCGCAATGACTGTCCCCCCCCCCCCCCCCCCCCCCCCCCCCCGCCCGCCCCCCCCCCCCCCCCCCCCCCCAGCTGGGCAAATGGCAGCAGGATAGAGCCCCCTCTCTGAGTGCTACTGCATCCACATCCCGCACCCCTCTCCCCAGTGTAATGCACTCCCCCTTGCCCCAGCTGTGCAGCTTATCCAAGCTCCAATGCCTTCTTCCCCTGTGCCCCTTTCATCCTCCTTACCCCAACCCCAACAGATTTACCAGCAGGTGTGTCAGCTTCCTATGGCCAAATCTCCAAAGTGGTGCCAAATCTTTTGGATCTGATTCAGCTGAATTGAATCAGGACAGTGATTCAAATCTCTGAACTGAGACACTGTCCTCTGAATTGGCCAAATCCAAAGTAAATACTTGCAACTTTGCACAGGCCTAGTAAGTAACTAAAAATACGGAAAAAAAACCAAAACAAAAAACACTCTTCTAAATAGACAACAAGGTGCACCAGGAAAAGGAATTCTGGAGGTTTCTGGACTAGTTTGAATCACTGTTCTTAATCACTACCTGAAAGAAGATTGATTTACAACACAGAATATCAAAAGAAGTAATTAAACAAAAATAAAGAAGCTGAACTAAGAATAGACAAAAACAGTGGCCCCTTTAGGGCAACAATATGATGAACAGCAAAATATGTTAAGGGAGTACAATCAGAACATATAACAACTACAATAGTCATCAAATAAATGTTTGATCCATTTTAAGATCAAAGATTATCTAAGGGCCCCAGTAAAACTAGAGGAGGTTAAAAATAACAAAAGACTTTGACCCATTTCAATTGATATCCATTGCAGGGAAAAGCATTAAAATAATAATGTTATATAAAGACATTTGCTAAATTCAATTTTATTTTGATTTCTTGCAATATGTCTTTCAGTAAATAAATGTTCATTTCTAATTATATGCGTCACAAAGGGAGAAGTTATATTACAGTGGACTGGGTCC